TCCATAAAAGTTTCTGCTGGTGAATATGGCAGATCCCATTTCTAGGTTGGTTCTGGCTCATTGTTCGATCGCCGAAAAGTTACTGAGATCGCGGAATGACTGCGCCACCTTCCAAGCTTTCTCGAAGTAGTTAAGCCTAATTTCGCGAATATGCGGATGGTTTTTTGAGCATATTCTTGACAGGAAACCGAGCAGATCATTTCTAGAAAAAACCCGAACTCAATATTCAAATTCTATTGAGAGAAAAAAAGCCGCGAAAAAATCCGCAATAATTATGCATCAACCTAATACTAACTGAGAGTTAAAATGAGTTCGTAGTTCCAATCGAAACTCCTTCCTACGCCTCTCCCTCCCCACAAGATCACCCAGAATATTTAAGCGATCCCAAGTCGTGGCTTAACAACAACAACAACAACAACAACAACAGTAATAGATATAATTTATACATAAAAAAGAACCCATTTTTTCACATTCAACCACACTTTCAAATGAGTAGCTGTCCTTTGATGCATAATATTATATTCAAAACGAAGAAATGTGATACAGTTGAAGAAAAAAACAAAAAACAAACACAATCACAAATGATGCAAAATAAAGTTGAAAGATAAGCACATTTGGAATAAACCTCATTGCTAACATCAGACGCTAACCGACGAAAAATCGTTCAAACTTAACACGGTACCTATCTGAATGCACACAGTGTTGATGAAAAAATCTTTGCTAGAATACACAATGTATGGAACAGATATACACGTCTATCAGTACTTAACGATCATGACGGAGGTAAAACTATTGAATTTCAGACAAATTAAGATAAGCCTTCTCCAAACTGACTTGTATGCGGAGTCCGGATAGAACTTTGCTGAAAAAAAAAAGATTAGAATTATGTGAAAGCTGCAGTATTCAGTCACTACAGGGCCGAAATCAGGACAAATACTACACGCGGACCAACCAGCTTTCAGGACAATTGGGACCATTTTAGAAATTTCGAGAAAAAGGATAATAAATGGTTCCGCCTCAGAAAAGCTGAGCTTTCTCAAGAGTTTCGACCATCTCTGCTGCAAGAAATTAAAGGTAAGGAGGTTAAAGGAAAGCTTCTAATCGGTATTTCAACTACATCAAAAACCCATTAAGCGTGACCTGCTTTTGTCGTCAAGGCATCTAGGTGCTACAGAGGACGACAGATGAGCCTACAGTGGCCTCCAAAAAGCAAGTTGCAGCTCATGTTCAGTAAAATCTCCTCCACCGGCACATCTCATAACAATAGAAATAACGCCAACCGGGAGCAGCTGCTGCTTTCGCGGTATATATGATAGGGCGAATTATCTTTTCAAGCCAAGAGCTAACTCAGAAAATTTTTTTAAATCAAATGATATTCGCCATTAAAACTTACTTGTTGTATTTCAACATGAACTCCTTCGCCTTTGCATGCTCTACAAATATCACCGTAACCTGGTCCTCGTTCGACTTCCAGCACTTCTGTAAAAGGTTTATTTGAGGATTATTTGAGAATTTCTAATTTTTCAAGAGATAGAATAGTGCTAGCAAGTCTTAAAACACTTAAGAAACTCCCACAGTTACAACCCAATTATAATGTAGCTCAGGTAATGACTAAAAGGTAACCTCACTTCATATTCTCCTTAGCAAATCCTAAAAGCTTCATTTTGTCTGGGCTTTCTATCCCTTCCGTACTACTCTTAATCACTCCCAAGTCATCTACGATAGCGTCTTTGCCAAGTAACCTACCCTAATCTCTCCCAAATCCTTTGCTAGTGTTTCGACACGCATTTTTGCCGTTGTGAGCTGTTTTATATTCTTCACATTGACGCACAAATAGGCTTTGTTCTTTTTCAGCGCTGCTTCCGCTTCTGTAGATGGCCTTGATGTAGATTGAGATGTTGAGCCACTGCCACCACTTCGTCGATGATCATTATTTGACGAGCCACTTTCATTTGGCCGTCGATCTCTCTGCTGAAAAAGACACAGTCAATATAATCTGGTCTACAATTGAAGAAAATACAGAATCATTGTAGGTGGTGTTTCCTTCTGTAAAATCATTCCAAAGGGATGAATGTAAATCTGACACGGACCTGACTCTGACGATTATTTCCTCGATCATTTGGTCGACTATTGGATGACGACTCTTGTTGGTTACCACCAAATCGACGCTGTTCTTTACGTCTGAGCACCTCGTCACGCTTTCTCCGTTGATCTTCCAGCTTTGAAAGATAGTCGTTATCGATTCCAACAGCTTTGGCACACTCTACTGATATCTAGACAACGGAAGTTTAACGTAGATACTACGTTAGCAAATCCTGTTGACTATGAAAACAGTGAGATGCTTAGCACATACTCCTAACCTGTTTGTGGTCTTTGACGTCTCTCCTCGGAGCATTTTCTCGTCGGTTTTGACCTCCTCGCCCTCTAGCATAGCTTCCACCTCGTCCATTGCGATCCCTCTGCACACGAGGTGGTCGGCTACTACCGCGACCACCACCTCTGTTATCGCGCCGACGACGAGGTGATCGTGAACGAGAGCTAAATAGCCGTTGCCAATAACATAATTGTACTAGAGGATAGAAAAAGCTAATATTTTTCAGAGGTAATTTACCTCCCAGCGCTTCGAGATCGACTGCTGTAGCTACTATAACTGCTATACGATGAACTTCGTCGGTGTCGCCTTCGAGGACTTCGCTGTCGTTGAGATGTCGAACCGCTTAGGAACTCCTCTACAGCTTGGTCCCATTGGACAACTGGTGCTGGTCGGGTAATAATGGCTGACATGCCAGGCATTATCGGTGGTGGCATAGGAGGGCGTGCAGCCGGCAGCGGCTGTTGGACTGGAGGGCCGAATCCCGCTGCTCCATGATTAGATGGGAGGCCTGACAATGATAACTATAAGATTCCCTATTCTCATGCCCAACAGAAATAAAAAAAAACTATCAAAAATCATGGAAAACAACTTATTGGATTCCCTGACAAAAAATAAGAACAAAACGCTACCTTTTGGGCTTTGCCATGAACAAAGTCAAGGAAAGGTAAAACTGACCAGTAAGGGGAATGCCATTGGGAAGACGTGGGATGATCGGACCTGCTTGGCCAGGAACAATTGATGGCAAGATAGATGGGCGTGACCCAACTGGAGGTAACACACTCGGGGGACCTAAATTTTACATATGCAAATCTTCGGAGCACCGCGTGATAGCAGTAGTTCCATATAGTGATCATGTTTGAAAAAAAAAACAACTTGAAAAACAAACCAAGTGGTCCTGTCCCAGGTGGACCCAAAGGTCCTCTGAAGTTCGGATTGATCAAGATCTTTCCGCCTGGTGGTGGTCCAAAGACACTCTGGGTGTTCAATGCCAAAAGTGGTTGTGGGTTTGAACCTACCATCAATAGACTCGGTGGTCCGTTAGAACCACGCACCTGAACAACAAAAACCATAGCAACAAAAACTACTGACCGGAACCGGCCCGTTCGTAAGTCATCTTGCATGCGTGAATAAGTTTAAATTGTCAAAGTTCAAGTCTCACATTTCCATTAGAGCGTGTTCCGCTTCTGGATGAACGGAATGGAACTCTTACATTTCTACCGTGCTGCGGTGGTCCACCTCTACCAAAACGTTGTCCATTACCGCGAGCACCACGACTGTTCCCGTTGCGTCCGCCATTGTTTTGCCACTGTTTCTGTCCTTGATGCTGCGTTCGATTTTCTGTACCCTGGCGTCGACTTTCCACCTTGTTTATGGAATTGGTGGTCGTCGGTGGCGACTGAATTATTAGCTTTTAATGAATTAATCGAAGATATCAAAAACTAAAGAAAACACTGAAAAATCAAAAAAATTAAAATAATCTAGAAATCAAATTAAAAATAGAGCAGTTCAATTTTACAGAAAGATGGATTTATTCCCCTACCGCAACATGGGATGAGCCAACTCTAACCCAGTCGTGTCAGTTGCTATGCATCACAATACTTATCCATTACAACCTATCCCGTTTGAATTCGCTAGGAACTACAACCCCAAACAGAGTGGAAATTCAGCCGATTGGACAGGGACGCTCACTGGCAATTAAAATCACGCTCCCTTGAATTTCGAGTATACGGTATTCCAGGAGAAGCTGGACCGTGGTACTTGGCTAGGGCTTTTTTTTTCAAACTAGCTTGCTTTTTGTAATGAACAGAGACTACGACTTCTACGATTTTTTCACTGCGGACGTGTGAAAACGAAGAATCGCCGCATGTTCGTTAATGCCTTCTTCAAGGAAACGAGCCTTTCGCACTTTCGTAAAAGCTTTGCATTAGCCATTCACAATGACATCACTTGCATTATTTTGAGCACGAGTTACTCCCTAATAGCCTAAGGAGAGCCCCTACACAGTAACATTTTGCAGCTGATTGAAAAAAGCTTAATCACTGATTAGAAAGCAATAAATTGCACTAGAAGAACAAAGCCCATCCACACAAATATAAATATAAATAGGCTTGGTCCAAACCGGGCAAACTCAGTTGGGACGATGACTGTTTCCCAAAAAAGGAACAGAGGGCATCTCAGAGAACAACAGCTTTTATAGCACCTGTCCTATTTTTTACCTAAAGAGTTTCCAGTAAAGCTCACCGAGTTCGTCTGATTCCTTTCAGATGTGAAACGACCGGTCCGCTCTTCTTTGTGCTCTTCGTCATCATCTTCCTCGTAATCCAGTTCTTCACGTTCAAAACTTTCATCCTGAGTCTCAGCGCTCAAACTCTCAGTAACATTGGTTCCCTAAACGGTTGATAGATGACAATACCTTCAAGCGAAAAGAGAATCTACAAAATCCGCGTTCAGAATCGTTGCCGCTTGAACTCCTCAGATGTGATTCTTCTGTGGACATTCATTAACGAAAGCCTTCTCATCTCGAGGGATTACCAAACCGATAATAAACGGCTCGCGGCCTTCAATTAGTATACAACGCGTCGAATCGATATCCTATTTTTGAATTCATACGTTTATTGGAGTTGTTCGAAAGAACAGCTCGACAACACGATGAAAAGTAGTTGAAAACGTAGATGTACTTCAAATGCATTATTTTCATTAGCACGCCAGTTGCTGCCCTCGAACCAAGATTTGGAAAGCAGGGACACAATTTTCATAAGAACAACACAACTCTTCTGTTTTAATTGAACCTTGCAACTCATTACGTGTTCGGAAGCAACAACAAATTATTTTTATGAATTGTTAAAATGTGTTTCAATACACGCAGCCCACCTAGGAACCCATGCCATCTTCAGCTGACGACCGATGAATTATTTATTTAATGACAATGTGCATTAAGGAGACCATATTACACCGCGTGCATGGATAAAAATCACTACAAAACGCTCTGGCTAGCCATTCGCCTTTATCCCGCACTACGACTTCAAATAAGCATATTGCGAGGCACATACAACCCAGTATGAATGTCATGGTTTTCAAACAAAAAGATAGTCAGGTACTATTCACATGCCGTGACCCTGGCAGAATAGGGATTCCGCCAAAAAGAAGGATAAGTATCGATTGAGACAGTTGGTATTCCGCTAAAGGAGTTATCCAACATTTTCTGGTTAGTTTCCGATTCTTATTACGCCAATCTAAATCTCTGGATCAGTAATTATCGAACGCTGGTGCCCTTTTTCAATTACGAGTTTCCATACGTACTATACTGAGCCGTCATTACGCTATGGGAAAATCCACGATTTTCCTAATCAACAAGTATTATATTTCCTTTCGCGGCCCCTCTGTTGGAGCCGAAAGTAAACAAAGCCTCTGCTGTGGACAATCAGAGTCAAATGAGGGCTAATGAATAAAAGCCAATCGATAACAACTTCAAAAAAATCCGTATGGCAATAATATGAGGCTGTAGTACCAAAGCTACAAACTAGCTTTCTGAGCTAAACCTGAGATTTCATCAAGGCAAAGTTATAAATGAGCTCCAAATTACAGAATAGTTAGCTCCAAGAAGAACTGACAAGAAATATTAAAACAGGGAAATGTCAGAGGACATTTAAAAAAAGTAAAGTGAATAGAGATAATTCATAAACAAGTTAAATCTTCCATAACTGAGACATAAGCAAAGACTGACGGTTAAACACTCCAGCGCTCAACAGGTATACCACTGGCAAGAATGTTTCCACTTCGGAAAGCATCCCCAATATGATCATTTGCGTGTTGCGGGAGCAGGTGCAGGAAATTCGAACGTGCAATTTCACTTCCATTTTCCTGAGAAAGAACGTACTTCATTCCCTCAAGTAACTCGAATCTCTAATGTTAACTCAAAATTTTGCATGAATTTCATGGTACTCCTATGTCACGCAAACGACCATTCTTAAAAAAAAAACTCTAAGGACAGAAGGGGTTCTTGGTAATAACGAAAGAGATGAGTTTGGAACATCAGTAGAAGAAAGCAACAACAATTTAAAATCTCATACAAATACTCGAATTGACCCAAGCGTGAAAAAACCCTATCAATAGAGGACCACTAATCTTCAAAAGAAAGCACTGCAAGAAGAAATTGAGTGTTAACACAAGCTCTTCCAGTGAAGCGATGCAGTGCCTTGGCAGTTTTCTGCCATTCACTCATGGAACGAGTAAAATACTGCAGCTTTCTGATGTCATCGATTGGACATCGACACTCGCAAAGCTGTGACACCACTTCCAGAGCTAGGAAGTGAAGTAAAAATTACAAGTCAGAGATACTGAAGAGCACAACACCAACACTATTCAACTACTGTTATCAAAGGGAACACACGCTGGCGCTTTTCCTATAGTGGCAAGCGTAAAGCTGAACGATGGGTCGGACGATAGGTCCGCGGTTTCCCTACCTATCAATGAAGGGCAGAAAAGCACAGGGTTCTAGAAGGTCTTCCATCGATTCTACGATCTCCAGAGAATTGGGTAATCCAAAGAGCTAAATCCTCTCATTACATACACCATGTCGATGCAGCCAACAATGACCTGTGAAAGGGTTCGCCCTTAATTAGAAACCACTCCTTAATCGCAAATGGTCGATGTGTATACTATGTACCGATAAAAATTTTGTAACTAACTAGTAAACAATGAAATCTTCACATTGTTCGGAAGAACCTGCTTTTATGAATTCTTCGCGCGTGGCGTAGAAACAAGGAACACGATCAAATCAAATACACTGAAACGATCGTAAAAAGGTTTGAAAATCATCACGAAATTCTAAATTAATGCCTTAAAGTATGACTTAATTAAAGTGAAACGAGGAAAAATGGAGATAACAAAACGTCGAATTACTTTTCACGCAAGCACTACTTTAAACAGTCCAAGCAAGGAAGACCACTTTTTGTTGTAATAATTTTGTGACAAAATGAACGTAGAAAAGTCTGTTGAGAAAATTGGTTCAAGACTAAAAGTGACAGCAGAGACTAACCAAGGTAGACTTGCTTGCATATTGATTCTCAAGCATGATATCACAGAAATGATAGAATGAAGGACTACACAAGCACAGAACGACAAGGCCAACTTAGTAAAAAGGATGCATCCGAAACGTAGACTTAGTAGACGGCAATCATGCGAATGAGAACAGATGAAAAGTTGTAGAATGAAAAGTGATTAACCAAATGGTAACCAATTAACCAAATGGTACCGAAAACCTTGAGTCATTAGGAAAGCAGATGGCTTCCCTTACAGATCCTGGAAGTAGCATCTCGATATAAGGGTAGAGATAAAGGCTGTTGATCGCTCTCTGTATCAAAGGAAAATCTGAAACATCTCCTGCCTCTGGGATTTGAAAAGTCCAATTACTTGCGAACGTATGCCAACAGACAAGCACCTCCATCTCTACAGGTGCAGATAGATTTTCCAGCTCAGCTCACGAAAGATACTTACTTCAATATTTTAGAAACCCAATCCCTTTCGAGTTTGTTATTCTTGAACTGTGATACTACGGCGTGTTCTCTTTTTATTGAACAAGNNTGATTAACCAAATGGTAACCAATTAACCAAATGGTACCGAAAACCTTGAGTCATTAGGAAAGCTGATGGCTTCCCTTACAGATCCTGGAAGTAGCATCTCGATATAAGGGTAGAGATAAAGGCTGTTGATCGCGCTCTGAATCAAAGGAAAATCTGAAACATCTTCTGCCTCTGGGATTTGAAAAGTCCAGTTACTTGCGAACGTATGCCAACAGACAAGCACCTCCATCGCTACAGGTGCAGATAGATTTTCCAGCTCAGCTCACGAAAGACACTTACTTCAATATTTTAGAAACCCAATCCCTTTCGAGTTTGTTATTCTTGAACTGTGATACTACGGTGTGTTCTCTTTTTATTGAACAAGAAAATAAAAACATGACCCATTCATTCCTGAAGAACTCTTCTAAGCAATGAAACCCGTAACAACCCCATGAGAGTGACTCCAAACGATAATTGATATACGATAAACTGGATATCAGCATAACTTCTGAATCTAAACTGTCAATTCTGAAAATAATCAGTGGTCAAAAAAAGGACACGGTCATGGTAGCACTTGAATAGATATTCGTTTTCAAATGGGCACATACGTTTCAGGTCCTTGAAGACAAGGAGATACACTAGATTAACGTTTGTGAGCGAGTGTTGACCAGTACTCGTACCTGATAGCATTCCCATTTGAGCTGGACTTGTGTACTACCTGAGAGTAAACCTCTATGAAACACTGTTAGCCGAAGCTCCCACCTACCATACCAAGTACGCATATCGCAACAACTTTATAGCGTCGACTTGGACAAACTAGAGCCTAACGTGGAACCCCATTCGCCACATTTGCAATAGATTAGCAAGCGAGGATGGCTGAGAAAAAATCGATAATAGACGAATGCATGGGTGATGGTGAAGGTGGATACACCTTAAGTCCCTCCGTTGACTTTCCAATACAGCGAGTCCAAAACTTCAAACCTAGGTCACTCTGTTGGTGATACGAGGGAATCCTATCAAAAGCAGTTTTAAGGACTTCTCACCGTGTTCCTTCTCCAGTCTGATGAGTGTGTTGCAAGGCGGGACGTCCAAGACTGAGAAGTTGTCAGATGGCGAGGAAATTCTTTCACAGGCGCCAGCCTTTCACAGAATTTTGCCTAATATGCCCCAATTCACTGCATAGCTTCCTACCGAACGGTCGTGCGTCGGTTTGAACATCCCAATTCTCAGTTTAGGCGCATTTATTAGTTTAAGGTCTGAGGAAGATCGAAGTCATTTGAGCGCCTGTTTTGCAATGATGCGAGCCCGTTCGGGCCTCTCTCACATGAACATGCTATATTCTCGATCATCCCGTACGCACCCATTCAATCCATAGCACTCGGCCATTGCGAGGATTTCAACTTCTGCAACCCACTCCAAAGCGGTAAACAATCGATCCGCCGACGTCATAACAACTGCTCTGCGCCGTTAGCACAATGCACATCTGTAAGGGAAACCCTCGCTTTTCTTATCTCCTTCGTGGTACATTTTTTTTCATAAATCTAAATTACACAAGCAAGCTGTGAGTAGAATGCTTCTGATACGAGTACTAGATGACACAGGTGATGTTAGGAATCCCTACGACACTTCTTTTGAAGAAAAAAGAAATTCACAATCGTGTGGCGATCGAAAAGACCGTGTGGTCCCTATAACGATGTGATGTCAATAGATTAGGCTAGCTGAACATCTAACAAACAAAACACACAATGTGGGGAATACTAAGAGCTTTCAAGCTACTATGTATATCTACACCGATCAATTCGTATGCTAGGAATCTGAACGAACCACTAAGAAACCTTTTAAAATTATACTCTTTCCCTGTTCAAAGGCATTAGACAAATATCGTCGAACAAACTGAGATTAAACAGCAATATTTCGGAAAATGAAATAGGTACAGCACCATAGATGACGACAGATATGGTAAATTACCTTGGCACTGGCTCGATTAGGAGCTTTTAGTCAACTAACAGAGCGGAATTAAATACCTTCTCCTACAAAGGCCACAAACTTGGGCAGAAGTTATCATGGTAGCATTTCCATGGCTACGGGATTTTAGCCAGCACACAAACGAGCAACGGAATAAGGACAACTATCAACACTCTGGTAGATCTCAAACCAAGCAGCATGAGTGGAAAGCTGTGGTAGAGAAATGAAATCGGAGGAAAGCAGAGCTTTCCAGCTCTTATAGGAGCAAAATGAGAAAAGTGGCCAACATTGCCTCCAAACTTGTCCGGCGTCTCAGACACCAAGCTGCTCCCGTTGTGGCAAGCGATTCCACTGGCGGGTGCAGGTTTGCTTTTGTCACGGCGCCTTCTCTGCGCATGTTAACTTACTTCGCCAGCGCAATCAGACACTGTTCCGCCTGTGTCGAGTAGGTCAGTCACTTCATCTTTGCTGCCATCGCTAGGACCAAGTAGTTCATCGACGTCAAATACTTCCTGAATAAAAATCATTTTCGTTTCAATATGATGATGAGACTCTTTAACATTCGGCATGTCTCTCAACCACATGTGATGAAGCAAACTGAATAAACCCAGAGCGAAACTTAAGAATATAAATTTTTAAGCTGCAATAGAATAGCGTCATTTATATGCAGCCTTGTTAAAGCAAGACCTTCGTTTGTCATGTGAAACCTAGCGCAGGAATACTCAGCCCAGCCTCAGCGTGAGGAAACTTTATGGCCTCAATAATCTTAATAATCAGTCGCTAATCAAAAAGGGGGCACATTTTATTACCTAGTGCATCGTTTGGCGTACACAAAACACCCTTGTGAAAATGCTAAACTTCTTCTGCTCGTCTTCATGCTGCTTTGCATTCCATTTTCTAGTCTATTAAGATTGGGTGCAAATACAACGGCTTAAATCCCACGCAATTGTGGGCGACGAAATAGCAGCAGGCCACCATAATATATGCCTGCGCTGAAATAGATGATAACCAAAATGTGACCTAAGGAAAAATCCGAAGAGGTGACCCGAAAAGAGGAGCTCCGAAGAGAATGACCCCACCTGTACCCAAAGGAGGGGGGTATCCTCTATATATAAATGGTTAATTTTTTGTGTCTGTTTGTATGCCCGTTTGTGTGTCCTCCCAAAAGTCACGTAGGCACGGTTTAAAGCGTGAAGCCCACAAGAGCGGGCTTCACGGGTGAGAGAACAGTTATAAAATGGAAGGTCAACCGTTGCTCCTTATATTGGTCCGTTGATTAATATCCAATTTTTTATAAGGTCACAGACTATAATCACAACTCGCCCCCACGACGCAGGACAATCAAACCCATGGGAGCTAGAGGAGGTTAGAATGGAAACAATTCCATGATCACCTATTAGTGTCAAGAGATCAAAACCCACAAAGCGGCATCATGTCGTTCAAATTGGGGAAGATCACCTTATTCTTCTACACCAAACGTTCTTCTGGCTATTTGCCGTCGTGCTACATCCCTATACTATGGACGATTCATCCATCCGTTCGCAGCCAACTGAGAGAGGAAAGAGGTTAGGCTTCGCGGGCAAAAAATTTTTTATGAAGGATTTTACCGAAAATACCTTCGCCATTCAACCTATTCTCCAGACTAGACGCGCAATTTTTCACAGAAACTAAGCTTCAGGAAGAAAAGAGCACCGGGGTAGGTGAGATAACAGAATATTCGAATCATACCGCATTCTAGCTTTTGTACGAGGCAGTCATCTCAACCTAACCCCACCGCTCTTCCTCTTCTGAGGCTCAGGTAAAACTATATTCTTTCGCTTAAACAGACTCGAAGCCCGGGTACGTTCGGCAAACCCATCCTTCCTTGCACTCAAGCCTTCGCGCTGGATAAGAGATGCCTCCCATATAATTACAATTTCTAACTACTTTGTAAAAGTAAGGAATAAGGCCCGGTGTAGTCCGGGCGATCCGACTGATAAGATAAAATGCGATATAGAAACACTCTGAAAACTATATCGACTGGTGAAAGGGGTCAGCACATAACGAGCTGACCTAACAATGTAGGATTCATGAAATTGGCGAAGAGTTCCGAGACCACATTACCTGTTCGTGAGTCGAGGAACCCGAAACATTGGCTCGCCACAATCCCTGCTTCACACTCCCCCTCTCCCTCCGCTACCGATAGGCAGCCAAAAAATCAGTAACTCACGTCGGAGATGTGTTGTTGATCGTCGGGGACGTTGAGAAGTTCCTCCTCATCCATCATCATTGCTGTGCCTAAAACAAGCATTATACGAATCGAACCAGACAATAAATTTCCAACGAGACGGAAGATCCTCAGATGAATCAAGCCTAGCAGACATGACAAAGGAAGTAAGAGATGCGTGCACCGCTTGCCCTAAAAAAAGTGAAGTTCGATTGAGAGACTGCACCAGAAGATGTCATAAAAACCCAGATGGATTAGTTAGCAAAATGATTTTACAGTGAAATTTCAGTTGAGAGAGACAACAACCACCCCAAAACTGCTCAGAAACAACCAACCAACCCCTAACAATGAGTTGATGGAAGTGAAATAGAATCAGAAGCAAACGTAGACGTGGAGATGAGGTCGTCCGGGAGAGTGGCACGCGTCGAATGACAGCCGCGACGCGTCCCAGCGAAACCGGTCCGATCAATACTCCGAAAACAACATGCCACATGACGCACTAAACGGCAGACAGCCATGGTTGTCTCGTAGAAGCTCGGAAAGAAGATTGGGTTGTTCGGATAGGCCGCGCTCGGGGAGGCCTAACTGTGCTCAGCTCGTGTTGTCCTGCGTCCCAGACCCTCGACCCTAGAAGAAATGCCTTAATCCTTTGTGGAGTTGTAGTCGTTGTTATTGGTGGGAAGGTTCTTGGATTATGGGATGTGAGAGTGTGAGCTAACTTGGGGTTTCCAAGTCGTAACATTTCCTGCTAAGTTCCGGTACACGTGGAAACAGAAGCGTTACCGTGGTTACCATTAAAGGGAGATGAAGAAGACTCTGGGGAAGCTGGAGGAATCGCCTTTATAGGATGCCCTCAAGCATCCAACACCTATTTAGAACTTCGACCCGAACTACTTGAATGCCGATTTGAGTGTATCTCCCTTCCCAGAGGATTGGAGTACCAGGTAATTGGAGTCTGGTAATTGGAGCGATTGGAGACTTCTTGGGGGTGAAGGGCCTCATTGGCCTAGACGAGTATCGGCCCGGGGATTTGATCCCGGACCTTTCGTGTGGGATAGTGCGCGTCACGTCACGCCACCTCCACCTCTAGACTTTAGTTGGCATGAAAGTATGTGAAGTTCTTTTGCGAAGGGCCCTCCAATTTCGAGATCTCTTCTCGAGTNTCGGCCCGGGGATTTGATCCCGGACCTTTCGTATGGGATAGTGCGCCTCTTATCGTCACGCCACCTCCACCTCTAGACTTTAGTTGGCATGAAAGTATGTGAAGTTCTTTTGCGAAGGGCCCTCCAATTTCGAGATCTCTTCTCGAGGAAAAAGGTACTGAGAAAGCGCTTTACCCAAGAAAGGCGATTGGGGTTGCGAAGAAAAATACCCTGGAAGGACTTCAAGTTTGGCGATAAGCTGTACAATCGGCCTTCCCACTGACGGTTCCTTGGATGGTTCGGAGAAAGGTTGTGTGATACTCTTAAGGTACCTGTAGACCGAGTCTTGACCTTTTCTCCCGTACGCGCTCCACTTTATTTATCTGTTACGCTTTTCGCGACAGCTGTGTCTTCCGATGAACAAACTGGGACCGAAGAGCTGCCCTTTTCTCAGCACCGGATATTGAGTGGGCTAAAAATAGGACTGACGCATCTACCGTCGCGCTTATGAATACGTCCGAGCTTCAAGGGCAACTACTCGTTTCTCTGCTCTTCAGGAGTATGAAGTTCCAGATTTCTTAGAGGGGTTTAGAACCGCCTCCAGTTTACTTTTCGAAAAAAGGCTTCCCTGGAAGTTAAGGGGGTATCATCGAGCGATGTCAGAGAGTAGCTGGTGGAGGGAGGAGGTGGGATGGTCAGTGGTACCACCCTAAGACTGATTACTACCTTCCATTTACTTTAACCCCTTGATACAGACCAGAAGACTATTCTGGCATGGTGAAAAAACTAATGTGAACACAAGCCGGTATCCCATATGGTCCTTCGAATGCCTTTTCAAATCTCAACGTAAGACGGGTTCATGGCGCATTCCGGAAGGAATATCCGAACAACTATTCTTTCCAATAAAATCGACGTGGAGTGGAAGTAAATCATTTCTCAGCAGACAGGAAAAAGGCGATTTTGTGCGAGCCCTTCGACAAGTCCTTGACGCACAGTTAGAGAGAAACCTTCTTATAACCGTCGTCGGAACGTCAGAGGATCAATGATGAAAATCGCCTTCGTCTGCGGAAAATGGCTTCAAAAAATGATTCGGTGAATAGAAAGAGCATTGAATGATGGTGAATGGGGAACGCTTGAGAAAACGCGTGCTCCTTTTATGGGCAGTAAATTGCTGTCGTTAAATTCTTATAGACTCACCAAGTCTTTACTGAAAGTGGTTTCGGTTATAAGTGAGACCAAATTCTGATTGATCACACAACTGGCTAGGAACTTCTTTTCCCATGAGTTTTAGAATATATAAGGTTTCTTCAAGGATTAATTTTTATCTCTATCGTTGGTACAGGGGCCGAGTTAGTGTCGGGGCAAATGACGCGCTATCACAGACGCATAGTGAAGGGTTCGGGTTCGCATCCTTGATCGATATCCACAATGGCCTACCGGAATTTCCTTCTCTCGAGTTTGGTCAATTGGTCCCAGACACTTCTGGGAGGATAAAAATAATGACTAGTGGATTGGAAGCCACCGCAGAAATCGAATGGTGTGGGTGAACCCAAGAAACGGATCTATCAGAGCAAAGGCTTTTATCTTATCATGACATGACCTTCCTCTCTGGCAGCAGAGACTTTTTCAGAGTTTCTCAAAACAGATTAGGCTGGATTGGTTAAAGGTTGTGACAGAAGAGGGTCATGTTCTCACAGAGTAGGGGAACCTTTCGAGGACGAGATTCCTTTGGAAATAAATCAATCGAATGCTGGGTGACTGAAAAAAAAACCAGAAAACAGCATGACTATTGTTAGGTTATTCTCTTTGAAGGCGAGGGTGGTGGCTGTTCTAAGGAGTTTCTCGTCAGACGTTCAAGCGAAATCTGATTTATTACATCACGGAAGAACGTAAAGAATTCTAAACGGAGACGGTAAAAGTGTCGGGCGCTTCACAATCTCTTTAGTGTGCACTGCCCTCTCGGAAAGTTGATGACTGCTCGCAGAGCACATTCGACCTCTCATCAAAATCCTAGGGCAGTTAATATGTACCTCAATTATGTAGTCAGCAGCGGTAAATGGCTTTTCGTCGACAACACGGGTAGACAGCTCGCCACAATGATTCTGCGGCTGAACTTCTGTAGTTTTGAACCAAGCCGAAAGTGGGACGCTGAGAGTAAGTTATGACTTATGCGGGGCGCCTCCACCGTGGATATGAAAGTTCCCTTCCGACGAATTCTCTTCGTTTGGCCAAGTTCCTTGTCTCATCCATGTCGTTCGATATCTAGCCTTTATGTTTCTATGGGTATCGTACAGGCTTGAGGTAAGAGATGATATATTAGTTCTCGAAAACCCCAGTGTTTCACACGCTTTTGGTAGCGATATTTGTAGCGTCTAACAATGTTTATAGTAGCCGTGCTTCAGCGTACACGTACATCTGCTTAGCTCCTGACTAGATTATTTAACGTTGGTCCGTCCTTTGGTCGCAGAGTGCTGGTTGCAGCTTGCACCAGCTTGGAGTCGAGGAAAAAAGTTCTGGAAACAACGCTTCATAAGTTCTCTAGGCTCACTAGAGACTTTAAAGGTAACAAGTAGAAGCAACAAGTAAAATTTTTATGCAATTATACAAGTTTTTGATGTTACAATATCCGGTGGTTGTATAATAGTTTGCCGTGCTTCGGCGTAAGCCATGCCCGTTTCCAGTTCCTCATAGCCATCGATAGAGTTCCTGTTAACATCTGTAACAATTAAAATTAGGCGAGTTTCACCAGACGAAAATATCGAAGGACAGTCTATCTTCTGAAGTGTGCGGTTCGAAACAAAACGATTTGAGTCTCGAGTGTGGGCGATTTTAGGTAATGAGGAAGGAGAAATTGGTGAATAATACGAACAGCTCAAGGTCAGAGGTTCGAGTGGGCGAGGTAGCAGTAGGCAAGAAAATTTTTCAGGAGAAAGAACAGGCGAAGGCAGGGGAATTGCTAAAGGACGACAGAATCACGCGACACACCACGCGGCGAGACAACTAGCTAAGAGAAGGCTTAAGGCCAAGTCATACATCTCAGAGAAGTGGTCGCAGAACCAAAAACTTGTGTAGGGACCCATAAACCGCGCAGATTTTTGAGCTTACAAGACCGCCACTTCAGCCACAAGAACTGTACGACGATTGATATTACCTCGTTCTCTGTCGATGATTTCCCACACACTCTTCTTTGAACTTTGGAGTAGAAAGAAAGTTTCTATCTCTCCCTTAATAGAGCAATTGTCAACTGTTAGTCACTCATATTTATGAACAAAATAATCAAACCTTTCCCCTGATGAACATGCTTCCACGACTGGTAAACTCAAACCGTCCTGTAGAAGTTGCCGTCTTATGAGTCTGGAAATAATTGTTTACTTTCGTACCGTTTGCTTGGCCACTTTACCCAGTTTCTAACCAGGTCATGGTTTGTGCGTCCTGTTTTTCGTAAATTAGTTCTTACACTTACCTGTTCACTACAATGAATCTTTCCAGGTAGCCCATTCAACGTCATCAACGATGCCATACTAACGGTATCACCAAAGAGACAATACCTGAATTTGGACTGTTCAGATCCTTAACTAGCGAGTATGAAGTGTTCGAAGACCTTGGCATTCGTACAGCGACAACACCGGCTATGAGAGGTCCCGAATGGATACCGATTCGAACTTGCAATGGCTTTTTGCTAACCGGTTCCGGCACTGATCGGGCTTCCCAAAGCATTCCTGAAGAACAGTTCCTCGCTAACAGTTGTGTAACTTCGATAAATTCTGACCTATTGCTACATGACATATCATTTCAGCGTGTTCAGCAATCTGATCCGGAATACCACCGACGGTCATGTAGCTGTCACCGACGGTTTCCACTTTGTAAACCTGAAAAACTTGATGTGAAGAGCTCGACAGACAGGTCAATCCAATGTTAGGAGTTTTTCCATTTTCTTCAACTTTGAGACAATTTCGAAGTGACTTCAGTTGTTATTGGTTGAAAAACTACCGTAATTTTATTGATCTAGTCTGTGATAGCTACCGTAGTCCACGAACAAAAATGTTCCTGTCATTTACCTGATGCATAGCCACTAAACGATCGAAACGATGGAAGAGATTGTTGAGCATTTGAACAATTTCCTTCGGTTGGCTATGTGGTAAAATTGCTTGGAAGTTTGGCACATCAGCGAACATAACCGTAGCTTGATCGTATTCGCCTGTGAATCGAATCCAATCAATTAATCAATAAAATTGATTCAGTACCTGTCAAGCACAGAAATTTGGTCTTTATAAATGCTATACACACACACACGGAGCCTTGTTTTGTCCAATGTTCTAAACATCATCCTGCCGAAAAGTCCCAAAAAGCCACGCTCATTCGTAAAAGCAGTGGGCGGAGTGTGCGTCAAAGCATACTCATGGCCAACTCACGAGCTTCAATAGGTTCATCGTTCATCAGCTGATTGACAATCGACTCTGGCAACATATCTCTGAGTATTTGCTCTGTAATTAAGGTATTTTTTTGGGCAATTGATAAAAATCAATCCATCAGTGAACGTGCCGGTTTTGTCTTTCTCTGACTCGAGGTCTTTTGCCATAGTTTTTAGCTGCTCATTGTTCGCTTCGAGTTGTAAACTGGAAAACGTCTTTTTTTCTTAGAAAGATGGGATAAATCCGGTACTAACGGTCGAGAATGGTATCCTATGTACGAAAGCAATAATTTTAAAGCGGATGGAGTCATGAAGGGGCATTATCATCACACGCATACCGTAATTTTAATAACTATGTATTCCACCTATGCTACAAAAAAACCACCCTTCAAGTTGTACCTTCTAGAATTTGAGTCAGTTAGCTTGGCTAGGTTTCCAGTGATTTTCTTAGATTTTTTGGTAAACCGGGTTTAGGAAACACACCTGACTTCGACATCAGTGAGGCGTTGCTGATTCAGCAGGATTAGATCACGGGTGGCGTCATGAAGAGGCATTGCCGTCAGACGCATACCGAATTGCATGAGCTCTTGGATTGAGGTGACGTACGGTGAGCAGATGTAAATCAAGCTCTGAAATTACAGAATGAACCATATTAAATTAAGAAATTCTTGTGAACTTGTTAGATGCAGTGGGTGGGCGAGGGGCAGAGAGGGTAGCGCACGGATTTCTTGAACCGGGCCTCCTCTAGCAGATTGGTGCACACGAGGTGATTTTTTTTTCTTTTTAGGATCGTCGTGGCCGTAGTTTTGAAACCGTGATCCTAAGTGTTTCTAGTGACTACGGTGGCATGGAAAAGTGGTCCAGAAAAGAAAAACGGCTACACAGAGGCAGTTTCTAGTAGATGCCTTTTCATAATATAGTCGCTCTGATCTGAGTATACTTTACCATATTGTTAATTGCCCTCTGGAACAAAAAATATGCCTCCATCCTTACTACCAGTAAAACGGCCTTCTATACGAAGCCATTTGGTATTTCCATTCCCTTGTGACAGTTTACGATCATTTTTGAAGCGAAGTCAACTTTTTCACCGAATTTTTAAAAACGTTCTTTGTTTCGTCTTAGGGAGGTTTTTCTATTCTGGATCCCTTGTCCCTTATAGGTCATTTATTTATGACACCTCTCGAATTTTATGCAGAATCCGTGGTTCCTCCAAGATATAAGTTCTTTCGCTGTGTTAAACACACCCGTCAAACCCGACTGCGATAGGATGCGCTCATTCATCGACAGCAGCGGCGCGCCTGTTCAGTTACTACCTTACTCGAATGTAAACCATCGGTGACGATTTCAAATGTCCGAGAACGCGTAATCGTGCGGAGTCTGAGGCATTTGTCCGAGGTGGTTCGTAAAGTTAACGGATACATTTGTGTACAAGTTGCTGAGTTACTAGGTGAGGCGTTAGGTCCGTAAGCGGTTCACTTGGAGGTTTTTCTTAACTCTCTTTGCAAATGTGGTCCTTGATTTACAGCCTGAAAAAATTCCGGGGTAATTAGAGGCCCCCAGTACGTTTTAGGAGATCAGGGTCAAAAACTCGTAGCATGTAGTCGAGCTAAGTTAATAAACTCCTAAAAGGGAAGTGTAGATAAAGTTAGAAGTCAAAAGCCAACTTCTCGGTGGTCATGATTATCGTTCCGCTTTCCGTTTTCCGGCGCTCGATTTGAGCATCCTTCCATGCTTACCGAAACTAGATGTTCCAGTGTCTTAAATGTGCACTGCACTTTTAGGAGTTGGCCCAGCAGTTCGTTGGTCTCCATGCCCACGAAATATGAGATTCATCAGCACCCGATGGGTTAAAGAAGTATATAATATATCAAACCAGGTGTTACTAACCGATACAGGATAGTTACAGTGCCCATAGGTTACAGTAGCACTTTTATGTTGCAGTAATTACAGACGATTACTGTAGCTTACCTTACGATCTGATAGGAGCATCATTTGCCCTTTGAGTTTCAGATGATGACCATGGTGAAATGTGTTTGTGCTTGCCGCGTCGCCGCTAAATCGAATATTTGGTCGATACTACGTTCTTATTTATGAGGGCAACCCCTCGATTTCTTTACAAATAAAGCGCCACTTCTCAGGTAATTTAGGTTTGTACTCCGTTGATGAACAAAAACTTCTTTCAGTCAATCAATCTGATTTTAGGATGCGCCAACTCATTCGACCCTCATTCAAAATCACAGTGATGTTTAAGGGCATATATGGTCTACACAATGCATTGTGGAGGCAAGCCCATGAACGAGGTAATGGTTTATCCTCCCAGACGGGGTTGCTACCAATCAATCGATCCCAAAGGGACGGAAGGCTCAATTGGTCTGGCGGCACGTATCGATCCGAGATCAAATTCCTTGACCGCTCGACTGACAACGCGCCACTTGGCGACTGCCCCCATAACCACTCTAGTTATGAATAAACACAATAAAAAAAACGAAAATAGAACCTTAACTTTTCCTGTGGCTGTTGTTGTTGACGTCTGACGTCTGCAGGTGAACTCTTCACTTGTAGTACGAAAACGGCATTGATGAAATTGCAAATGTTGTCGAAATCGAAAGGAATTTGTGGCCTGATTGTAAGAAAATTTCTGGCAATAAAATATTAGTGAAAGGTGAAAACATCCACTTGGAATGTTTACCATGTAGAAAAGGTGCACCAAAATGTACCTGTTTACTTCGAAAATACGCATTATTGGTGTTCCTTTGGCAAGAAGCTCCTTTGGAACGTGGTTACTAAAACAGATATTCAGTCAAACAAGCCAATATCCGAGCGATGGTTTAGCCAAATATAAGTACTCAGAAAGCCAAGTTTGATAGCGAATTTGCTAAGATCCTCAACTGGAAGTACGATGAACGCAAGAAGGCTACGAACGCTTCCTAGGAGTGGTCTGATTTTAGTTCTATACGCCTCTTTCTCTTGGCCATATAAGCAGCACCCAAGAAATTGACTGAATTGGCTGTACTAACATAAGTTGTTGGGGAAAGCTCAGATGGATCTATGTAAACCTCAGCGATTGAGGTAGTATGTCCAAAATACCTAATGGGTATGCTTAACCATAAATACCCATGTCGAAGGACCATGATGTTCGTATGGTTCCGCCCTAGGCCCCAAGAGATGTTGCAGAAGTGAAGATAAGTAGGCACGCCCATGATGGGCGGGGCGTGCTCTCAAATATCGCGGGTGAATTGAATGAAATTGTTTGGGAAAAGGCGTAAGACAAACGTGGACTGAATAGCCAATTGGAATAATTGTAACCTAGAGAACATTTGGCCACGGTAAGGCAGTAGCAAGTTAGGATTTGGTCGGCTAACAATCGGCTTTTATCCAGATGATGGCATTTTATTAAAACTCACAAGCAGCAACCGACTTCGAGGGTTTTCAAAGCGTTCAGATGGCCACTATCTTCAATAGAGTCCCAATGATTCCATAGTTCTCGGTCAATTCCTATCCAAAACCACAAGAGATGCAGTTTATCTCACCTTTTACCAGTTCTTGCATTTCATCTCTTAGGAACACACTTTGCAAACTCACACCAGCTCTTTCCCATGCTGAACCAGTCGGCAGTGTTCATCAAATACCACATGGTATGGTAGCGCTGTGCCAAATTCGAGAGCATTCATATGTAGCGTCTGGTCGGAAAGATCTAAAATAATCATCAATCGGATAAGTAATTCAAGAGGACACAGTCTTTGGTCACAAACCTAACGAAGGAATGTGGACTTGTAAAGGATCGCTTATAATGCCATTTCTTTGGTCCGTACCCTGCAATGCCAATATGTTTCGTGAGGATACCGAGTTATTGATTAAATCTGATGACAGTAACCTTAATATGGAATATCACATGCTCTTCGGTTCGTTCTCCAGACATCATTTGTACGGTGCGTTGAGTGCGTCCTGTTACGTTCACAGTAATGTCAATGTTGAATATGCGACGAGCCATTTCGTAGAGGACGCCTATAATATGTTTATTGATTGGTCACAGGGCAGCGAGGCCACGCTGCGACCGAGCGTCTAGCGTTCTAATCGATAACGAGTCGAAAGTACGCGCTTATTTGGGCGTAGAGCTTTGCAATATCGTTCTGTAACCTGGTTGTAGAACACATAACTTACCCCTGACTATAGGGTATAATCCGGGGCGACCGGTGAAATAATGCAGTGTCATGGTGCCATCAGCGTTCTCCTCACAACGGAATGATGGTCCACGGAGATTTGCTTTGTAGACAACATGATCAATGAAGTAGTGTAAAGCGTCAAGATTGTCGAGAAAACCCTGGAAAGAAGAACTGGAGGAGGGCCCATGGCAGAACACCACGCCCACTAGACAAACCACGCCCAAAATGCTTGTCTGAGATGAAGTGTGTTTTCCGATCATGCTCTAAAGGGCAGTTAAGTCCCAAAAATCTAAATTTGGAGGCCTGAGCCTGCGCGGCAAGCCACGCCCACTTTGTATCAAGCCACGCCCTTGGTGCTGATCCATTTTATCCAGAACGTTTTTGTTCGGTAAAAGCATTCAGAATTTTTCTTGCTGAACGTCCAAAGTGACCGTTTTCTGAACATCGATGGTTCTAACTAACCTTCAAATTAGGACTCATGTTTCTGATGAGTTCATCCCACCCGATTTCCATCGTGTATTCGATGAGGAACGACCCGTACAGCTCCCAAACTTGCTCTCGTGACATTTCTAAAACGTATCGATGTCATTTAAGGGCAGCTGCAAAAGTGTAAACCGACTTGTGAGGATTGCAACGCTGTCCACTAGTAGATACGTATCCGAATCCGGGTAATAATGATTGATTATGTTCTCCTTCCCGCTTTCAAAGCCGGCACGAGTTCTGTAAATAAAAAGGAAAGTTCAAAGATCATTGGAGGCATGTCTGCTCAATTTTACAAGGGTTGTCGTAACTCAGGTTCATGCAATACAATTGCTGGATTTGCGTTCTGACCAAAAGCGGACTGGTTCCCATGGGGCGTTCTTTCCACATTTTAACCATTTTTGGGAGTTTGTCAATGTACGAGTTCAGGAATGAAATTAAATGGTTCCTAGAATAACCTTCATATTTCGTGCGAGGATGACCACCTTGTCTGTTCCAAAGGTACTTCCCCTAACCTTTTTCATGATTATTGAGACCCTCATGAGTACCCTCCTGGACGGACACCTGATACCAATCAACCGGTCTCGGAGGAATGGAAGGCTTGGCTGGCTCAGGTGGATATTGATCCGGGATTCGAACTTGTGACAAGGCGTGTCTTTGGCAGTGCGCCTATACCATCTCCGCCCTGTTCTTTAATATTGGAATAAAAATGAAGATTCTTGTTTCCGAACTCACAGGACATTCTGCCATAATTCCGTACCGAATTTACGGAGCATTAGTTGTCGAACACTCTCGTGGATGAAACCGAACTGAAATTGTTCTATGAATTTTGAGTGACGATCATAAAATGTAGACAGTCTATAAAACTGAAGAAAGCTGTTTCTATGACTTTCAAAAAGCAAATGAATTCATAAAACTTACTATAATCATAGAATTATCGTAAAGCTTCAAACGATTTATGTAGCGTAATACCTCCGCTGGGTGAGAGAAGCAAAAAAAAACCGTCTAGCAAACCACAGTTATAACAGGAATTTAGCGGAATAGGCAGGTAAGTTGATCAATTTTCTCGAAAAGTCAATTTTAAGAGAAATTTGCTTACCATTCTAGACTTGGCCGGTGTTGATGGTTGACTAAGGTGTCATGGAGGCGATGAAGCTCATTGAAAATGCTCACACGCAATGTCATCTCGGATCGCTGCTCGACTGATGGTCGCTTTGGCGTTCACCATCTTTCAGCTCAGAGCGAGCTACTGGAGAAGAAAAGCAGTAAGTTGACAGAACTGGATTATTTTTCTTTCTGAATAAAAGAGTAGCTTTATCGAC